ACTGTTTAGTGATGATTTAATGGGATAAAATGGAAGATCAGACATTCTCCTTTATTAGAGAATGATCTTCGCAAAAACTGAACGCAACTGAACATTATTAGTAATAGTAAAATAAAATTATTTTAAAATAGCTTTTACAGTGGACTCACCGCTCCAGCCAACACCGGCTCGAGCCCCACAATTGGTCCAAGTACTATGACAACGAGGTCTGGATGAAATGCTAATGGTTTCCCCAACGAGATAAGCAAATCGGCTATCCAGGCTATGATCTATAAACTTTAGAATTCTAGTCTAATAGATTTTAAAGTGCAAACCAAATGTGCTGCTAGAATCCTCTTATATTTGGGTAAAGCCAGTGATTTTTTCGTGATTAGGAGATAAATTGTCAAGAAAAAGAGACAAGTATTGATGAGACCAATGCATTTATAACCGTAACTGATATACGTCAGAAAATCAATAGATGGGGTGAACATCGAAATATTAGAAGGAAAAGAAAAGAGGTTGTAATCAATTTCTCCTAACTCATATGATAAATTTGTTATTTCTCTTTAGAGTATCAGTACATGAAAGCAAAACACCTGTTGGCCCCAACTTCTTCTGAATCAATTAATTTCATCCTACAGCTTCGACCGAGAAAATTCATTATCCCCCTGCCGATAACTTAGAATTAGAACGGAGATGTTTTCCGCATTTCCGTGTCCCGTGGAATAGTCTGTTCCAAAAAAAGCCTCGGACACAACAAATAGAAAAAATTAGACTTGGAGCTGATTCGGACAATATTGTCACTGAGGAGGTCACTGAAAAGATCAAGTCTAGATCAGACTAGACATAACGAGAACTTAACGATGAACGAAGCAAATCGACTACAGTCGACGTTTGATTTAACGACTCGCATTGATTATTACAAGAATCTTGGAATCAATCAAAATGCTTGTTGTCACAAGAGTTTGACTACTGACCGTGGAAATTCAAGGGTTTAGGCAATAATATCTAATTCTAATAGCTTAATATCTAATTATTATCATAGAGCTCGGCGCACACCATGAGGTTACGATAAAGTAATTGCTAAATGATTCTAGCCTCTGCTAAATGGTTCTACTCAAGCCACTACATCTAAAGCAAGCGCTTCAGACTACAACAAATCTGGTGAAACGTTTACGGCTTTTTTTGAGTGTTTTGACACTAAACTTTTTTTGTCTTTTGATGTCAAATACTTTTGATCTAAATTTCTCTTCATTACCTTGTTTCAACGCCATTGAAACGTTCATCGGGGAAAGAGCAATGCAGGCACACTTGAGATTTGAGAGAATTTGAAGATCGATAAAGATTGGCTTCCCCGCACTCTTTCCAAAAAACCGACCAAGGTCAATCAGTCACCAATCGAACACACAAACAGGTTATCTTCCGTGAAAAATTTCATATATTCCACAAACAATTTTTACATTTCTATTACAGATATTGTGGATTCATAAAAACTTTCAAAAAAACATCTTCATTATTTCCTTATTGACGTTTTATCATTGAACAATGGAAGGAGTATCAACAAAATCGTCGCTTGTCACGGATTTTTGGAGAAGTAAGCTCTAGCTATAGTAGGAGGAGAGGGATTCTCTAACAAAAGTTCTCTAACAAAAGGTATTTAAGAGGACTTAGAGGCTGGGGAAATCGACCTGATTAGGTCCGGAAATGATGACACATTTCCAAATCCTTTTTGAATGTAAGACTAATTGTAACGATTGTAGGATTTAAAAGGTACCTGCTACAGGAAGTGCTAAGTTTAGATGGGGGTTTCCTAATGCTCATGCATCTCCTAATGAGCGCGTGGCACCTCCTTCTGATAACAATTCTGTCTAAGGCAGTCCTTAACACACCGAGGACCCACTTCAAGTGGGGATGAGTGAAGCCTACCTCTTCACCAATTTTATGTGATGAGCTTTTGACACAATTTGTAAGATTGAGAAAAATTTTGGGTGAGGAACTAAAAACGGATGGGGGAGGATGGAGCTGCGCGGATCTCACCACCCGCTCCAAGATGGAATGGGTTGAGGAGGGAATCCCCAGCGTAGTTCCTAATCAACAAATAGTATATAGCTTCTCCTGTCAACGTTATTTTGCCAAATTTTATCTAATTTTACAAATTTAGAGATGCGAAACGCTGACGAGAGAGACGGTAAAGGACTCCCAAGACCAGTTCTCTTTGGAATAGGTGTTCTTGCTGCGATCATTATGATTCTGATTGTGATTGTTGTTATTATTACTCATCGCCACAGAGACCAATAAAGCATTTTATCAATTTAGATGATTCAATCGCTCTTAAAGTCAAATCATAAGAAATTTGAATCTGATAGAGAGAAACAGAATACTTTCTTTGATTGAAAATCCACAAAACAGCAAAATATCACAAAACATTGCAAAAAGAGAATTTGGAGAAGGTGTGCCATCATTTTCGGACTCGATCAATTGAAATAACGCCTGTCCATCTCATATTTTTCTTGCGAAAGAAAACTGTTTCTATTGGTGCACGAAAATCTGTGATATCACATTTATCGACTGCAACTGGCGATCTTTTGGTCATTTTTTAATTGAAAAGTAGATTCGGAAAGGTATTTATTTTTGCAAATCGTCTAAGAATTTCTTGACTTTTGGTTTATTGGCAATAAAATATTAGTGCCTAGTTCTTTAAACTTTGAGAGTTTTCGTGCAAATATTATGCGTCTTTTTCATCTTTCTTCATATACTTTAGAATTTTGAAACATTTTACTTAGACATTCTACTTAGAAACTAAGTAGAATGTTTCAAAATTGTAAAGGGCAGGCAACCAATGCCTCTTTTTCGAGATTTACTCAAAGTTAATCCCACGGTTGGTTCAAGGAGAGGTTCTTTCGTTTTAGAAATTCCAGTCACCTCCAATAAGTTTGTTTATAACTCTTTTCCAATAAGAGCTGCCAGAATTTGGATTTGTAATTTGGAATCGACTCCCCAGAGTTTTGAGAGAGTCCAATAGACTTGAAACCTTTAAATTATCTGTAGGTGATCTTGATCTTGATGATCTTGATCTTGATGATCTTGATCTTGATGATCTTGATCTTGATGATCTTGATCTTGAAGCTCTAGTGGCTCCTTGACGTTATCTGTGCTACCCATATATTACATGTATTATATTGTGTTGCTTTTTATCGGCCCTTTTCGTGTTATGTGTATGATTTCATGTGTTTTAATCTTAAATCTAGCGCACTTTATCTCAGGTCCTGAATAAAGTATCTATATATACCTAAAATCACAGTTGACAAAAAGTCAATTTTTTTTGCATTGTTCAAACCTAAGCTAAACAGCCAGCAGTTATCAGAAATAATCTTTTGTTTTGAACTTTCTTTTTGCACAGCCTTTATATATGGTCTAAACAAGTCTCAGGGTCATTTGTGCAAGAAGGAAAAAATGAAATGCCAAACTGACAGTATCTGGCAAAATCGACGACATAGTTCAAAGAAAACGATATATCATTTGCCAAAGTTGTCGTGAAATTGCTTGTACACCTAAAAAATAATCAGAGATCAAGAAAGCTAGGGGATTGAACCCAAATAAGTGATCATTAGAAGAGATTTTTATGCTTGTCTTATTATTTTGTTAGCTTTGTTAGCAATATTTATCAACATCGAGCTTTATGCTTATGAAAGAAACCTTTCGATGAACTTTGTATCGATAATTATCAATTTTTTTGTTCCATCTACTCACTGAATTGAGCTAAAAACAGTGCCACTATCAACGTATAAAACACAAAAACAGAAGAAAATCACATTCCATTCCAGCATACTAAACAGAAAGTGGATAAAGTATTAAAGTCTGAAGTAATAAAGAGGCTAAAGTAAACTAAATAAAGAAAGTAAACTAAAGAAAGTAAACTAAAGAAAGTAAACTAAAGAAAGAAAGTAAACTAAAGAAAGTAAACTAAAGAAAGTAAACTAAAGAAAGAAAGTAAACTAAATAAAGAAATTAAACTAAATAAAGAAATTAAACTAAATAAAGAAATTAAACTAAATAAAGAAAGTAAACTAAATAAAGAAAGTAAACTAAATAAAGAAAGTAAACTAAATAAAGAAAGTAAACTAAATAAAGAAAGTAAACTAAATAAAGAAATTAAACTAAATAAAGAAAGTAAACTTTTCTCAGTAATAGTCGGTTAAAGTTCAATAAACAAACAATTCAACATCGATGGAAAGACTCGACAAAATGAAAGAAGCAGAATATATTGAGCTAAAAAGCTAAAGATATTCAGCTAAAAAGTTTGAAACCTTATATTTTAGTTATTTCTAGCATTTAGCAGCTGAAGACTTCAGAAAATTCTTATTATGTTTTTAATTTTGAAGTCGATCTTAGATGGTGAGCAGTTATAGCTGCCTCGTGAGCATGGTGAGCAGTTATAGCTGCCTCGTCAAGCCTCCATGAGTTCCCGAGTGTGTGTTCCCAACCCCAACAATTTTTCAGCTTTAGCGTGCATAAACTAGCTGAAAGATCGGCTATAATTATACCAATAAATGAGTTTGATTTCATTTGAAAGAAGATTCGAAAATTATAGTTTGTTTTACCGAGTTTTTGATTTTGAAGGCATTTTGAATTATGGTCAAGGTTTATACAAATACATGAAGCTTTTGAAGAGTTTACTTTTGTTCTCAACTTGCCGAAGACTAGAGAGCAATTTTTCCTTTTCCCGGAACACCAGAGAAAACCCTCGTCATTTCTGTAAACATTGATTTTAGTCTCTAAGATAAATCAAAAGGCGACAAAACTCAAAAACTCGGAAAAGGTGGGGGTAATTCTCGGGATAAACGGGTCAAAAAGAGCAAAATGAGTTCAAGCTTTTTTAGCAAAAGAATCTCCAGGATTAGAGCATGTTTCCAGGGTTTCAAGAAACCTTTTCAGTAAATAGATTGGGTAAAAAGTTAACGCCTTTAAAACAGATATAAGGAGGATCAAAAACAGTTTCGGACAAGATTCGAAAAACGATGAATTCCTCGTTGGTTTCCTTTCTCGCTCTTCTCGTCATCGTAGCGACGGTTTCGGCTCAATTTGGTGACTTTGAAGGATATGGGTGAGTATTGGCTTTAAGTTTTTTAACTTGTGCACTTAGTAAGCGCTAAATTTTAAGTTTTAAGATGAGTTTTCAATTGAATACCGTAATCCAGACAGTCTAGACTGTATACCTTATTCTAAACTGAATACCCTAATCTAGACCAAATACGGTAATCCAGCTAATCTAAACTGAATACCCTAATCTACACTGAATACCTTAATCTAGATTGAATACCGTAATCCAGCTAATCTAGACTGAATACCGTAGACTGAATCAAGAATGGAAGCATGTTAAAGTAGGAACTTTTTATCTCTCCCTTGTTCTTACAGCTTTTTCCTTAGCTTTTGGAAAAATTAACACTTTAGCCAAAAAAAGTTAACAGTTAAGCTAGAGTGATACTAGTTTTTGGACCTAGCGTTGATTGAATTGAGTTTAAGCTTTTGACACAAAAGGACTGTTCACCACGTCACTCAACTTTGAGAAAAGAGTTTGAAAATGAATTTTAACTGATTTACTTATCTGTTGTCCTGTCTAGTACTCGAAAGGGTGAAAAATTTGATTGAAAAGTTTCGTTTTTGCATCGAATTCCCTTCATTTCTTTTCTTTCCTCGTGTTTTCCACTTTGATTTCGCAATCATGTGACTTCATCGAAGCTTTTGTTTAATCCTTATTCGAAAACACAACGATCCCGAAATACAATTAAATCCTCGTATTCATCAAATCGTCTATCGTCTATCGTTTATCATTCACCCTTTGCTCAGCTATTGGCTCAATGATCGTCTCGCGAAGCTCTTCGACCATCACCTAAAGAAAAATATTAAACATTGTAGCCAAAGCAAAAGCAAAAGCAAAAGAAAATGAGAAAAACTAAAACAACTAATTGTAAATTACATAGATAGATACTTTTTTTAATCTAAAAGAGCGTGACTAAAAGCTTTGGAAAAGAATCTAGATACCGTAAATACTGTAATAGTACCCCACTGCCGTCGTACCGTCGCGTAGTCGCAAAAGTTTTTTAGTATTTCATTTTTTTTCAAAGCACCCGTACTTTCAAAAAATGCGTCTTTGGTATCAAAAAATAGCTGAAATTCAGGGCTATTTTTTGATACCTAAGCGCGCATTGTAGCATAAACCAGTCTCGAGAAAAACGCGTCCAAAGCTAGACTACGCAACACTCCGCACCGTCATTATGGGGGTTGGGTACTATTACGGTATTTACGGTATGTGCATGTCTTGATAACAAAAAGCTATGCATTAAATAGATTTTTGTGTAAACTGTTTCATTTTGTGCAAATCAAATTCATAGCAATGAATTCACTAAAACTAAGCAGTAGGTCCGACTCGAAATTTAAAAATAATGCCTTTCAGAAAATGAGAAATGAAAAAATTTGTGCAAGAAGGGGGTCACTCTTTTAGAGGTGCTCGTTCTAATACAGCATTTACGGTATCTTTCTTTTAGATAAGAATCTCTCATATAAATCGTGACACTTTGTTACCGAATTTCAGGCCAATCCGAGCGAGACGTGCCACCTATACCTACAATGGAGTTTCAGCCACTTATCCCTACTATCGAAACGGAGCCACTTTCTCCTCGCCAACCAATGGCTACAACAACAATGGACAGTACTACTACAATGCAGCGTGAGTTTACGTTAAGTTTACGTTTTCTGGCAGCTTTACAAGCTTTACAAGCACTTATACAAACTTTACAAGCTTTACAAGCACTCATACAAGCCTTACAAGCTTTACAAGCACTTATAGCATCTAGAATAATCTCTGAAAGTGCTTTGGAGAATTAGAAAAATCAACTCTAGCACTAATGGAGCTAGGACCTTTAACAGTCTATCAAAAAGGGGAAAAGCTTTTAGTTTTATTTGTTTTCTCCTGATGATGCAGCCGATTTCAGTAACACCAACACTTTCACTTCGGGCGGTAACACTTTCCGATGCTCTGGTGGATACACATACAACGGCGCCTTCTATCCGTACTGCTCCGGATAATAGAGAAATATTTTTGGCGATTGGGATTTTCAAAATCGAAAATAAATGCGTGAAGACTCAACCCTAAGAACAAGAAAATACAAGAAAAAGAAAAACAGTCGTAAAAAAATTTAAAAAACGTTTTTTTGCTGAAATTTTGGCACTAATGCACTTTTTTTGGATTTTTTTCACGGATAGCTCTAGATATGCTGGAATATTTGAGGATTAGGTGTCTATTTATATTCATACAAATATGGGGCCTGGGCGGCGACTTCCAGTAGACCAGCAACTCAAAACTTCCAAAGTGAATCGGTGATGCACTGGAAAGTGAATGCTTCCAGGCACCGTTTTGGGCGTTTTTGCCGTGTCATTTTGCATCAATAATGTTTTTCTTCTTCAAATACAGCCTTTCACTTCCGTTTATACTTCAAAAGGACATTAGCGAACCTATGCAAAGCGAGAATTGCTCGCTTATTGTAATTTGCGTTTTGGACAAGCTTTCTCAAAGATGAAAGTTGTTTCGTGTGCTGAAACTCGTAAAATATTTTGTAAATATGTTGAAAAGGCTGCACAAATAATAATAATAATAATAATACTTTATTCAAACGATAAAGTGAAAGAGAAATGTACAGTGATACTTAATCATACAATACATACTGAAATCAATAAGCCAATTACTTACGGCAAAGAGCCACTAGATCTAAAGCATCGATACGTTTCTTGAATATGAAAAGCGACTGAATTTCTCGTATGTCGTTTGGGAGCAAGTTCCATAATCTAGCGGCTCTAACGGGAAATGAATTTGATAAAGAGACAAATGCATTAAAGTGCAAGGAAACTCAAAAAAATACTAAAAAATAGCTTCTTTTCATTATAGTGCATTGCATTTTTATTTTCATCCTCTTTTTAGCAAATTCTCCCTATAAAATGAGTGAAGTCTGAGAATAAAGTGTCTCTTATTTTTTCTAGCTCATGAACAGCTTTTTTCTAGCTCACTAGCTCATGAGCAAAATTTAACTGGCAGCACACGCATTATTGCCAAAATTTCAGCAAAACGGTTTTTTCGCATGGTGCATTTTTTTTCCACCATTGTACAGGGTGCACCATAATTGTCGCGACAAGGTATCACGCGCGGTAACAAGGTAACCTGGCTAACCTGGCGGTAACCTGGCTCTTCTCAAGGATGAACTCTTGGCCTGAACTCGTAAACATTTTGGAAATCGAATTTGGCCTTATCAGCAAGATGGCGCACAACCCACAAATCCAAGAAAGTCCAAGAGTTCTGCCAAAACAACTTCCCGGACTTCATTTCTTTTTCTGAGTGGCCACCTAGCTCCCAGACCTCAACCCAATGGATTTTTCAGTGTGATCGGTTCTAGAAGCCAAAGCTTGTTCAAAGCCCCACAAAAACATCGAAAGCTTGGAGAAATCACTGTTTAAAACGTGGGAAGAGCTCGACCCAGCCTATTTTGTCGCCACCGTTGACGCCTTCCCGAAACGCCCGCGAGCCTGCTCAAATGCTATTTAATTCGAATCGGCGGTGCCCGATTCGAATTTGATAGTTGATTTATAATTGTTAATGTACAATAAGTGTTATTCAGTTAAAAATTTGTCTTTTTTTGCTGTTGTCTGCCTTAAAATCAGAAATTGATCTTGTTTCGACAATTATGGCGCACTCTGTATATTAGAGTGTGTTCCTCGCGAGTAAGTAATTACTCGAGTAGCTCAGTAATTTCACTAATGCGTTTTCTAAGGAGGGCACCTGCGCGAAAAAAATATAAAAGCAATTTTTGGGCAGGTTTTTCAAAAAAATCATTTTTTTACATTGGAAGGGAATTTCCCACCAAATCAGTTAAACAGCTGAGTATCTTTAAAAAGTGTCGTATATATAGGCGGGGCGCGTGATTTTTGCGTCATTTTTTTGCAATAATTTTTGATAAAAGTACGGTCATTTTTTCCCAATTGTGCATTTTAAAAAAACGCATTACTCGCGAGGAACACACTCTACTGTATATAGAAAATGTGCAAATTAACCCATTCGAAACCGTAGCGTTTTTTCTTTTTTTTCGTCTGCGGACCAAGCCCTTTTTTGACATTTTTTCGCTGCAGCGGTCCGTTCCCGCGTTTTTTTTGCTGACTTTCTATTTTATATTATTTCTGATAATTTCTATAGATTAACCTAAGTTATTCTTCTTTTCGATAGCGTTATGGATGACGAATTGAAGGATTCTTTCAATAATTTATTTATTGACAATGATTTGGAGTCTATTGATGGATCGGATGATCGACTAATTCAACCAGAAGTATTGGCATCAAGCAAGCGAATCCGAGGAAGAGGATGACGATGCGTCTGAAGCAGTTTATCCAGATGGTTGGAAAGATTTACGGGAGTCTCCTTCACCATTTATTTTTGATGAAGAACGATTTAGATTCGTCTTCGGTACTTTTCAAGATCCTATCGATTATTATTCTTATTTTATCGACGACAAATTAATCAATATGTTAGTAGGTGAATCTAATAAACATGAAAAAAGGAAAACAAACTGGCAGGATTTCGATGCAAAATCTTTCAAGCTCTTCTTGGCTCTGTATCTTCAAATGGGAATCGTCAAATTACGGAGGATTCGTGACTACTGGAGTAGCAGGCCTGGATTAGGAGGATTTTCCCACATGTCCCACATTATGTCAAGAGCAAAATTTGAATCTATTCTTCGAAACCTGCGTTTTTGTGATAATGAACTGGATCCTGCAGGAGATTGGCTTTATAAGATTAGAGCTATTATGGAACATTTCAATGCAAAGCCAGAGACTGCATTGATTCCGGGTAAATATGAAACATCTTTTTTGCCCACGTAATTTGTGGATCTGTTACAATTGGAATATACATGTAATGCTGAAAAACAGCAAAAAAAATCAATTAATTGAATGAAAATAGCTCAATTAGCGCTGCAGCGAATAGTCCGTTCCGGAGTTTTTGATGCAGCGATTATTCGCTGCAGAAGTTTCGAATGGTTTAAAGTTTTCCATAGTTAATGCCGACTAGATTCATTAAAAATGAATCTGAGTATAACTTTTTAGCTTCAAATTAGGAAAAATCATTTAAATACTCAGAAGATCAAAAGCAGTCCATAATCTGAAAAAAAACTCTCAAAATAACCGTCTATGTAGAAAGAAATTACAAGCCAATTACATTTTTGGTACTTTGAAAATTCCCATTTTTTAAAAAATGTTTTTTTTTGTGGCATGAATGGTAGTTTTTTTTGGAAAACCAGTCCAGCCACAGTTATTAGGTTGGTGCAAAAGAAATTTCGGTCGATATAAAATGTTCTTATTTTTTTAATCTGAAGAGCTTATTTGATGTTCTTTTGTGCATTTGTACTCTTGGATATTTACTTTATTTTCGCATTTTTTCAAAGTCAGAGCTTTCACTTTTTAATTGATTTTTGCTTTAGATCATGGTGGATCAAAAGTATGTTCTGCGCACGTGTCTTCTCTATGACTTCAAAATGGGCAAAAACGCTGCTGATTCACATCGTGATCTCTGTTCCGCCTTTGGAGAACAGGTTATCACCGAAAGATCATGCCAGCTCTGGTTTGCCCAATTCCGAGATGGTAATGAATCCCTTGAAGACGAATCGCATGGACATCGTGCCACAGCCATCGACAACAATGAATTGAAGCTGATCCAATGCAAACAACACGAGAACTTGCCAAACATCTCCAATTCAACAATTGTACGCCATTTGGAAATAATTGGAAAGACAAATCGTAATGGACAATGGGTTCCACATCAATTGAGTGTTGAGAATCTGGGAGCACGCGTTCCGATCAGCCATATCTTGCTCCAGAAGTCGAAAAGAAGCCATTTTTTTTGAGAATATCTTGACGATGGATGAGAAGTGGATTCACTTTGATAATACTTCTCGAAAAAGACAATGGCTGAGCAAAGGTCAAGCGCCAATTCCAACTCCAAAGCCGGATTATCATGGGCGCAAAGTGATGTTGTCTTGCTGGTGGAATATCAATGGACTTGTTCATTTTGAATTATTAGAGCCCGGAAAAACAGTCGATTCATCTTATTTTATTCAACAACTCAAGAAGGTTGACGAAATTTTGCGTGAAAAAGGCCTAAATCCCTCAACTATCAACTTTCTCCGTGATAATGCTCCAGCTCACACGGCAAAAACCTCTTGTAAGGAACTAGAGAAGCTAGGATGGAAGGTCTTACCACATGCGCCGTATAGTCCAGACTTAGCACCCTCCGATTTTCACCTTTTCAGATCGATGCAACATTCCCTTGAGAATTGCCAGTTTAAGAATGCAAAAGAAGTCGAAAATTGGGTGACCAACTACTTTGCATCACAGAATCAAGCGTTCTTTGAGAAGGGGATCCGCAATCTGTAGCAACGTTGGAGGGATGTCATAGATAATAATGGTGCTTATTGTTTTAAATAAATTGTTATCAAAAAAAATTTTGGATGACTTTAATGTTTGTAAAAAAACGAAATTTCATTTGCACCAACCTAGTATAAGAAAATTGGTTTCTGTGGGAACAAATTATTGATCCCATTTTACAATTTCTGACATTTAAGAGTGAAATTTCGAAAGCTCTCATTTCTTGAAAAAGTTTTGCTTTTTCAACTAACGAAAGAGAAAAAAATCAAAAGCCCGACGTAACTAACGATTAGACAAAAATGAACGATGCCAAATGAACAAGAAAACCGTGAAATAATTGCGATGTATCGAAACAGAATCGTTTCCAAATCTTTCAGTTCTTTATTGGTCTCAAAAAGCTCTAAATTTTCAGAAATGGACCAACACCTGCGAATTCATACGACTGCTTTTCTATAATCGCAAAAAATCGTATGCAAGTTTTGAACAGCCTTTTGTTTTCATAGAAATATTGTTTCCTGATCCTGTCTGAAATGATTGTCACAATGATACCCACCAGAAACTCAATTCGAGACCTAGTTTTCTCTGTTGCCAAATATTCGGAGTTTATTGGCGTCGTGCTGACC